TCAGTTAAAGACAAGTAAGGCTACAATCAAGCTTACCTCCAAGAAACCGTATTGCTGCCATGGTAATCTTTATAGCCAAAGTTAGTTGTTTCCAATCCATAATAATCCTCTCCACCATGAATAGTACTTACTCTGTTTTCTCAACTATTATATGTACCTTCTTCGTTGCCGTTTTTCTTTCTTTCTGAACCAAAAGTCATTTTTTTTATAAAAAGTCGAATATTTATCGAATATTTGTAATATAAAGACGGTAACATGCATAAAAAGAGTTAGGATATTCAGTAATTGCCTACACCAAAGGTTTTTTATAAAGCGAATTTCGGTGTTGAAGGGAGTGCGCTTAGTTCCAAACGAGCAATTCCCAAAAATAAATTATCTTAATCATCTTTAAGATAAAGAATATTCTCTCGTATAACGTCTATCTTTAAGATAAAAACATTTTCTTCAACGTCGATTGTTTTATTATGAGATTTCAAAGCTCGTGATGTTGTTCACTTGATTGATAAAAGGCTGATCTGGCGTTAAGTTATTTCGGCTTTCTACAAATAAAGAATATAACGACAATGAACAGCTTTTGTTCTAAGCACGAATTTTTTAAACCCGTAAATTAGGTGTCTCTCCTTCTAGAACAACAACAAAACGCTCCTCTGAGTTTCAGAGAATTTTAATAGCAAGGCTTTCATCGCACCGAACGCGAGATTTTAAGACTGAGGAATGTGAATTGAGGAATATCCTAATCTTAATAGTTTCACTTTAACGTTAATACAATAGACCTTCGCGTACAGGTCGCTACTGAAGTCGAAATAATTTCTGGAGTTCAAGAGACCTATTCTCTAAAGTGTTGTTGAGCTGCTCTTTTTTACAATGAGTTTTGAAGTTTCGAAATTCAACTACATTTTATCCCACAGTTTCAATTCAAGCAAGAATGTGCGTAATCTTCTACGAGGTTTTAATAATTAGCCGACAAAGTTGACTTATCTTGAAAGGATTTACGTCACAGTTTGTGAACATTTTGTTAATTTTCACTAACCTTGACCGTCTTTGTTTACCGTTGCCTCTTTACACTGATATGCTTTTATATATCATGTCATGCAATAAAGTTCTGGAACATAAAAGTTCAGTAAAAATGTCTCAAAACCTTTCTCCTTTGAGGCAAAGTTTCTAGGTTTATCCTCTTAGTAGTACTACGCAACCACTTAATAAGGAGTGAAAATAAGGTATCTAGCAGAGTAGAACTTTGTTGTTGTTGCATGAATAGTTATTAAACAAGAGGTCCGAAAAAGACATTTACTCCAAAGACCGGCACTTCATTACATTCCTCTCTCCTGTTGTGCTTCGACTGTGGCTGGTGGAATACTATAATACTAAAAATAAAG